AATTAACTATAGGGGTTTGCCCTTATAGGAAGCTTTTCCCGAACCCAGCATAATATAAACCCTATTTAATTCCCTATATTAAATAGGGGACCTTGTCGGCCAATATATTGGTTTCGCAGACCAAACGGATGTCATAACTTTCTTTAGTTTATTTGATCGAGCCTCACTCTCAATTCTTGTGTTCATCCTTCGGGATAGATACATGATTTGAGATAAAGTGCTCTTTCATTTAAACTATGAAAATTATGGGGTCAGTTTGACTTCATCTTTTTCAAAACTAAATTTTTTTTTTTAAAACGTCTTTCCGAAGCAGGCGACGGGATTTCAATTCCGATGACCGACAGCTTCTTACGGGCAAACTCCACACCAAAAATAGTGCCGACACCCTCACCACTCTTATTTTAATGCTTGTTTTACCCTTGGTTATGTGGAAACAATATGTTTCAACTGCTTATAAAGATGAGTAGTTTATAGCAGGCATTTTGTGATTTTTTTCTTAGAACATCTTCATTAGAATATCTTTCATCCGATTTAGTAGCTTAAAGGTGATATATTTACTATACATAAATACTTCCCTATAATACATCGGTTTTAATTCTTCAACATAGCCATCAATCCACTCTCAATTTATCTTTTTGAATGTTGGTTCTAAAATTATCTATGGATTCACAACATTACCTTATTACATATAAAGATATTCCAAGTCAAAGAATGTAAAAATAGGTTTATAAATCCTCCATAATTGATTGAGGTTTCTGGAGGACTTGATTAACCCCACACAACATTACAATGGAGAGACAAATTAAGCCACAAAAGCTAAAAAAAAATTGTCTAACATTTTGATCTGACAATATTTTAGCCTCAAAAGTATATATGAGACCCAAGATTAATGGTGCATAAAAAGTTATATGATAAAATTGCAAAAAAAAAAGGAGTAATTGAGCTTGATATAAAGAGTCATGTAGTGAACAGGTTTGGTCCGCCACTAAACCTTGGATAAATTTCTTTATTTAGTACTTGACAGCATAGTACTCTAATGAATATACAAGTTATACGAACAACTAGTTTCTAATAACTAATAACTCTAGTCGAGTAGTTACTTGGTAAGTTCTTATGATTAAAAAAATTGAGGATATTCTTGATTTCAAGCTGCTATGATGGCTTGATAAATCCAACCCAAATGAATATAAAAAGAAATAATAATGAAAACAAAAGCTTAAGGTTAACCTGATGATTATAAGTGAAGATCCGTGGAAAAATTTTAAATACTGATTAGATGATCAACTACACACATTCTTGACAATGATAATAAATAAAAGGGGGTTTTACTTATAGGGATCTCCAAATCATATTTATTACATATAGAGGTCATGAAACATTTAATTTACATCCCAAGGACTTTGTTACGACTTTGTCTCCCTCTCTTGGTCTCTTATACAGTGTTGGAGCTCCGTCGTTGATTTGCTCTGACAACTCTACCACAACGTCTCCTTATCTGCAGTCCGATCCAACAGGTCACCGTCTACTTCACCGATGGCCTCATGACAAGATTCATGTCCATAGATTCTTTCTTTATAGCTCCATCATGGCGGACCCCTCCACGACAGAGGAGTTCTCCACTTTCACTTCGTTCTTCTTAGCACCCCCTTATTACCAATTCACATGTTTCACAACCAAACAACAATATTCGAGGCTTTTGAAGAAGATGAGCATTGGAACGAAGGATGCCACCATGTCATTGATTTCGTTGTCTCTTATGGCTTACAATGCCCTTCCCTAATCCAATCTTCATCAAAAACAGCGACCAACAAGAAACCTATATGTCTTTTTAAAATATAGTTTATGAGGAGTATGGAAGAGCCGAGGGATATAGAGAAGTGGCTTTCGAGGTACGCCTCATGATTCCGCTTTAATGGAAAGCTCTAATGGCGACTGTATATGAGATGAAGAGACGGAAACAAAGCCTTAACAGAGTCCTTCATGTGTAAATTCAAGACATACATCCGTAATAAATATGATTTGAGAACATTCACATCTTAAAACCCAAAATAAAGAAAATGAAAAAAACCACTCGGTAAGTATCCTCATTAATTAAACTCTCATCATAATGAAAAAATAATACATATAAAAATAATAGAAGAAAATAAATATAAATTTAAAAATATTTAATAATATTGTGATGATATTTGATGCATAATATCCTTAAATACCACTAAATATCACTACTCCATATTTGTGGATTGCACGCTTAATATTTGCACTTTTCTAACCCTTCCAAAGCCTACGGATCATGTCAAGCCGAAGGGGCAGTGGTGTAACGGTAAATTCGCAGCGATCGTGATAATATGGCGCAATATCTCTCGTGTCTCCAGTGGTCCGCTCGCCTCTTATCCCCTATTAATTACCTAAATACCCCTAAAAAGCGAAAAAGTGAATGCCCCTGGGATACTTTTTGCCAGCCCCCCGTGGCTCCCACCATTTCACTTCATCTCTCCCTTCCCTTCATCCACTGCCATCTCGCTATCTCACCCCATTTTCTTCTTCCCCGGAACCCTGCAGGATGAGTCGAACCTCCCTGAGTCTCTCTTATCTGTTTCCCATCTTCTGCTAACCTTTCTTCACTTCTTTCCCGTTACTGTAAGTTGTAATCAAAGTGGCTTGGTGGGGAGTGGTGGAGATGCGCCTCCCGGTGGTTCTTATCAATCGGTAACTGTTCTTTGATCTGTTGTTGGATGTTGATGTTTCTTCTGTGTTATTTATTTATTAATTGAAGTTATCCGACGATCAGTTTCCCTGTTTATTGGATTTTTCCAAGGGAATGTTACGAGAGGTGTTGAATCGGACGTGGTTATGCTGCGAAATTTGAGGGTTGTGTTTGGATGATGCAGGAGTGGTATTTTCCTTTTTGTGTTAAGAAGAATTCGCTAGTGTTTTCTTTTTCCCTTATTCTTCTATTTGGTTTTGTTGCCATTATGCATGTCTGGTGGTGAGTTGATTATTTTTTGAGTTTTTTCTTTCTTCTCTGAAAATTGTTGGAGATATGATGGACGTTTGTGAGAATTAACTTCTGGTGGTAGCTGTCGGAAGGTGAGAAAGTTTCGGTATTCTTTTGTCTGCGTTGGTTTGTTTCATCCTCCTTGTTCAAACTGGAAGTGTTTGCTAGGTTTTATCATCAAATTAGCTCATACAAGTTCAAGCTGGAGATCGAAATGATCAATGAAAACTGCACTTCTTCTACCTTCCTCATCATTAGAATCGATCAGGCAAGCGTATTCGCTTCGCTTCCCTTTTCCTTGCGACCGCTAGTTTGAGAAAAAATATGCAGAAAGTACGTTCTATATAGTCCTTGTGGTGCCCCACAATTTCTTCATTGGAAGCTTTTATATATTTGCATTAACTTTTATCAAGTAATTTCACTTTAAGAGTGTCTGTATGGATATAGAATAGTCCATCAAATTTAGTTTTGAACTGCAAAATGGCGATATACGTATTGTACCCTTTACTATCAAATATAACTCACAAAAAAAAAAGTTATAATTATCCTCTATGCTTGCTTCTTTTACGATCTGGCTAGCTGAGAAGCAATTATGATTTTGGTGGGCGGGTATACAGTGGTTGTTTGTAAAGATTTGATGCTTTGGATATTTCTGGGGGGAAAAATAGCCTCTGCTAAGTTTCCTCTTTATTTAGATAATTATTTTTTCAGTAAATACTGGCATATCTGTATTATTTTGAAGGTGTTATTCTCCATGCTGCAGATATTTTGCAAAGTTTTTTAAAGTTTTCATCAAGAACTGTTCTGCAAGTTAAGGGGATAGTGGATTTTGTCCTGATTTCTGTCTGATTTTCCTCAAGAACCATGGGCTCTTATTGTGACTTTTGTGGAGATCAAAGATCAATGGTGTACTGTAGATCAGATTCTGCATCCTTATGCTTGTCTTGTGATCGAAATGTTCATTCTGCTAATGCGCTTTCAAGGCGTCACTCTCGAACTCTTTTATGTGATAGATGTTATTTGCAGCCGGCAACAGTTAGATGTATTGAAGAGAGCATTTCACTTTGTCATAATTGTGATTGGAATGGACACAGTTCTTTCACTTCAGCTTCAGGACATAAAAAGCAGACAATTACTTGCTACTCGGGCTGTCCATCAGCTGCAGAGCTTGCCAATTTATGGTCCTTTGTTTCGGAATTTCCTCCAATGGCAGATTCTAGCTGTGAGCAGGGAATGGGTTTAATGAGCATCAATGAGAACAGCGCCAGTACTTATTGGGGACCCCTTCCAAACAGTTGTAATGCAGATATTGACAATATAAGCAAAATTAACAATCTTGAGAATCAGAATAAACAGAATTTTCATATTGGTTCTGCTACATCTTCTCCAACTCCTATGATATGCAGCGCTGATCAAGAAGCTGGTTCGGTCGATTCGACACCACCTGAGGTGCATGAAATCTCTGCACATTTAAAGTTCAATGCATTAACTTCTACCATTGAGCATCAGATGCCCCTGCGCTTTCATATTAAATCTTGTGGCGTTTTATTTAATCTCTGCAATTCATGGTCTATAAGAAAAAATTGTACAAGAAAATTCATACAGATTATTATCATTTTTTAACAGAAAAAAACTAGCTACCGAATCATGAGGTGATGTACATACCAGGCATTAGGCATAATTAGATTGAATAGTTTCTTTGGGTATGAAAACACTGCATGTTTGCAACTACCCTGTAATATTTGTGGCCCTGAGTTGATGATCTAGAATAATCTTAAGAATGGACATTTTTACAGTGCATTTTATCATAGAACTTAAACTGTTTCTAGAGTATATCAATAGTTTTTAATAGTAATATACCTGTGCTAAATAGAATTTTGTGTGCAAATATATATGTATATTTGTATATTTATGCATGTATGTATGTATGTATATATATACATGTCTTCGTCTGCTAAGGTTTAGGGTCACGGCGAACCTCTGCCACAGTAATTTCACGCTCGAAGAGTTTGCTCTTTGTTTCGGCTTCCGTCATCTTCGATCGTTTCGTTGATCTGTGCCTTTGTTTTCGCTGCTCTCCGAAGGACGGGCTGTAGGGCCGATCGCGGCTCGTCTTCTACGATTCTGTCTTGTCGTCTGTTTCGTCCTGACGTTTACTTCTCGACACTCTCAGCTGGAGGCGCCGACTGGTACGAGATTCAGCAGGAGATGCTGACAACTACGGGATTTGCTATGGCCTCGACGATGCGTTCCTATGCCAATGCACTTACCGACGACTTTCCTATTTCTACTCATGCTTCTCTTTCAGGTTCAGAGCCTGGTTTTTATATTGACAAGTCCTGCAATATTCCTTAATCTTTCCACGATGCTCTTGAAGGTGGTGGTGATCACACTTTCATTAAAAAGCTTGGCAAAAAAAAATGAGAAGTCTGCAAGTCTGCTTTTATTCTCATTGAGGTTGAAACCAGAACTCTCGCGTCCTCTTAGTGTTTTGCTCTAGTGGGGAAATTCCTTTATGGTCACCCAAAATTGGAGATCATTCGTAAATAATTTGATATTATTAAGCTATTGGGCAGTTGAAATATTGGCTTATTTGGCGGTCGACATATACTTATTCAGTTATCTCACGATGCCGATCATACTCCCATTTTTTTTTTCAAAAACTTATCAAGATCGACAACCGTTTATGAAAATTCTGAAGTGGACTGTCGATTTTGATCCAAAAGCGGAGTCCTCTATCATTTATGTCTGGATAAAATTTACGGGGTTAAAATTACATTTGTTTAATATAGAAATTGTTTACTCTTTAGCAACTGCTTACAGTACGCCTCTCAAGGTTGATAGTCTTACGCTTGCTGTCACCAGACTCACTGTGGTTTATGTATTAATTGAGAGAGATATCACTCAACTAGCTCTGGATGAAGTATGAATTGACACTACTATTAACGGGTTTTGGTGAAAAGTTGAAATAGAACCACACTCTCCTTATTACTCTCATTGTAATATTGTTGGTCATAGTTCTACTATTTGCTATCGCTTGGATCTTCATCTAAGGTCGAATATCGCTAAAGATCAGCCACTTACCATCCCTGCTGAGAAGGTGTAACCCGATTCTCTTTCCAGTACCGCAGTTCCAGATGAAGAACACCATACTACAGGTATAGATCCAAATGTGTTGATATCATTTACTGTTATTGAAGAAGACTCACTTATATGTCAAGACACACGAGAGTGCTCATTCGATCCGATAAAAGATCAGCTGGTACAAATTGTTGCTTCTAATGTTCAACAATCTACACATGTCCGACACACTTTAGACAATTCCATTGATCAGGTGAGTCTATCTTCGGATGAGGAATGACATGTCTATTTCAGGAGGAAGACGAAGAACAGAGGCAGACTCGAGCTCGTGAATTTATTGGATGATACATTAGTTTACTAGCAATGACACTCATCTTACCAATTTATTAGCTGACTCCTATAGAACTAGAGGCAGAGACAAGACAAAATTGGGTTGCTCTCTAGTTACTTGATACTCCATATTTTGACAATTTTTAGTTTTTTCTTTTGGTCTCTCATGTATTTTGCTGTATTTTCTTTTTTTTTTAAACCATTTGATGTGAAGGTTATCGTGTGGGCAGGGTACCATGTTTGGGCCCTCCCACACAATCTATATGTATCGTACTTTCTATTTAATATATTAGCCTCTGGGCTCTCTCTCTCTCTCTCTCTCTCTCTCTCTATATATATATATATATATATATATATCTTTGTGTGTGTGTGTGTGTGTGTGTGTGTGTGTGTGTAAAACTAAATTTATATCACTTAATTATATTTTTCAAGACAAACACTAGTTGAATAAGACAATTTATCTAGCTTTTGTTCATTTTTGACATTTTAAGGATGCTTAATGATGACTCCTTACACAAATGGTTATGGAGCTGAAGGCCGGGAGTTCACAGACATCATGCTTCTTCGTCTCTTCTAGTGTCAGCTCCATGGCTGCATGCCATTCATGTAGATTTACTAACTTGGATCCTAGGTTGTGAATTTTGAAAACACAGATTCTTAGAATTCACCAATATCATTTAATTGAGGAAAAGCTCTATCATTTCTTTTGGGTTTAGTGGAGATCTTACTATTTTTAATATATTTAATTTCTTGATATATTCAATTTTCTTTCCTTATAATTATTCGTGTACACAATTTATGCATTAATTTTTTTCTTGAACTCACAACATACTGAGAATTGTTGTTTTATTTTGAAGCATTTTTCTGGTAATTAATTTTTCTAATTTGAGCTATTATCAAACGGAGAGTGTAAAGATTACAAAGGAAAGTGTAAACAAAAGACAAGGTGACAATAGAAGCATGTGAAATGAAATTAAAAAGTAATGGAAATAGTTTGCATTTGCATTTGAGACAGCCTGATAGAGGAAAACATTGTGGTAGGCCTTATGGATTAATGCTATGGCTTGATGTGAAAATAAAATGAATACAAGTATAACTAAATGATAAATAAAAGATGGAAATGAATTACTGTATGGATTAAAGCAAAAAGAAAGAATGATTAAGAATAAAAAATTCTTTTCTTCTTATCTAGTAAGAATGTAAGGCATTGCACTTCTTGAATGCTAACTAGTGTATCCTATGAAAAGGGAATAAATAAATAAATTTTTAATTTTCTCCCATGCTTGATTTTTCCCTAAATGAATTCTAGCATGTTATTTACATAATGGGTTGGCTGTTGTTGATCCCTAGATGGTATTCTTGCTTGCGTGACTCACATATGGGTATGTGCTGATTGCGGGATATTCCTGGATACAAGTCCTGTAATAAATAAATCAAGCTTGACAGCTTGTAGATTTTTCCGGAAAGGATGGCGGCTGACTTTGGGCTATAGGATGGCTGATTCCTAGAAATTCTATCAATTATATTTAGGAGTTTCTCTAAGTAAAATCAGCTATAAATTTTAGATTTTCATTCTTCCAAGGATGTGTTAATTTCTTTAATTTTTTTCTTCTATTTAAACCATTACTTAAGGAACCAGGTTTCGGCCAACTGGAGCAAGGAAATTTTCCTTTTTTTGCTTATATCTGTTTTCCTCGTCCACTTTATTTTTAACCGCATGTGATCATAGACATCGCATTACTTCTAAAGAGAATTTTCTTCAAGAGCTAGTTCAGTATAACGAAAAGTAGACTTGTATATTGCTACTAAAATTTGGCTATCGTAAGAAACTTTTTTTATCAACAAATAATTAAGTTAACCTTCTAAGGATCTTGAAAATGGCAGCCTAATAAGTTGGCTTTGGAGTTTACTTACTAATTATATTACTTGCACATGTTCCATCGTTAGAACTACTTCTCAGCCTCATTTTTTTTTTTTTGGTTTGTTTCAGAGGCATTCATGCTTCATTAAAAGCAATGAGGGAAAATCATAAGAAAGTAGGATTATCACCAGTTATGGTTGTGTATGTTTTGCAATTTCCAACGTAATCTGCTTATAGTGATTATTTTATCGATGACTTGTAGCCTTCCAATGCTGGAATGAAGGATACTGAAAATGACAAAGATGGTTTCTACAATGGTTTTTCTGGAAATGTTGACTTGAGTTTTGAGAACTATGAAGAATATTTCGGCACATCTCATACACATGCAGAGAAGCTTTTTGATGATGTAGGGATTGACAGCTTTTTTGAAATGGAAAGTTCTGCTGCCAATTCCAACTGTCAGGGTGAATTTGCTGCTGAGGTAAATTCTAAAATTGCAGTGTCTCTAATGTAAATAGCTTCTCTTCATGCTATAGATTGGATGGCTGGTAGAAGTAATCTATATCCTATTTATCCATTTTTTAACTATTTAATTCTGTTGGATCCTCTACGAGTGCAAAGGGCTTTATTATAATCTTTACATTTGTCACTTCAGGTTGGAGTAGATGAAAAGCCAAATCATGCCAGCTCAGTGCTTGGGCATTTATACGCCATTTAACAAATGGATTCATGTTGAACATGGCTTGGGTTATATTATTAGATAAGGTATCGTAATTATACAAAACATATTCTTCGTAGTTATAAACCAAACACAGAGATTTCTTTCAAGTAGAACATAATCAGTGATCCGCACGTCGTCGCTACCGCTGAATGAAGCAAGCAGATGGAGAAGAACGCTGATGATGGAGGCGATTGCGCCCAGGATGGTGGTGCCATGAACGATTGAGCTGAAATTCTACGGCAGGGTGAGCGGAGCCGTAACCCAAACCCTGTCGGCGAGCCCAGACACGAGAGAGAGAGGACGTAGAAGGAAGACGACGCAGCTCGGTAGAAGACGAATCGAAGGCGGACAAGTAGTTCCTCTCTTCCCGCGAGAACTCTTTCAACGATTATTGGTGGTTAGGACAAAACTTGGCTCTGATATCATATCATGTCAAAGTTTTGAGAAAAATAGACTAAATTTTGAATAGACTCGATGTCTTTTCCCTTTGCTTTCATTTCATTAAATAATAATCTTACAATCTATTTTAGGTACTAAATAAAGTGCATAATCTATTTTAGGTAACATAATAATACATATTCCTAATCTAAATATTCAGCTAAAAGGGAAATAAATCAGAATAAAGATATTGAAAATAAGGAAGCTTCTAATTATAAAAAGCTTCTAATTTAGCTGTCTGATTTTCGTCTTTCCTGATTGATATTGACTAGACTTATTAGCTTGTGAGCCGGTTCATTTAAAAATTATTGATATAAAAACCTAGGAGGCATGGACACGGATATGGGTATACGAACACAACACGACACAATACCAAGACACGATATAATTGAAAAAAAATAAAATACGACACGTCTTGAACACGTTTTAATATTTTATTAATTATTAGCATACTATATATATTTTTTTATTTTTTCGTTATTAAAGACACGAGACATCACAAAACGAAATACATAAGAATAAAATTTAACTTGTATTATGAAATCTCATGCTTATAAAAATTAATTTTCAAAATTAGATATATAATATGTTTCAAGAAAATTCCTCTTAACTTATCTAATAAATTTTAAAATATCTTATGATTACATGTTTAATTAATTAAGCTAAAATATAGCCATTAGAATTAAACTAAATATAGATTTATAACTATTAACTTATTAAAGACTAAATAATATATATAAATTATCACTTACAATACTAGTGATTTCACTTGACTTTAACGAATAAAAGCTTCAGTAGAATCGTCGCAAATTTGTGGGTATTTGGATCGGCTTCAATGAACAGGTTGGACTCTTGCTTAGGTTGTGACAAAGAAGCTTACGGCTTTCATATTAGCTTGTGTAGGTTTTGCCTCGATGAACAAAAGCGAACTACAACGCTCGGCTTCGATGAATGCAGGATGGACATTTGAAGCTAGGCTTTGACAAACAAAAGAGGGAACTATTGCTGCTCGACTTTGACATATATTGGATGCACTTTCGATGCTCGATTATGACGAATGTTAGAGGGAGCTTTGGCATGACGACAAAGGAGGTGGCCTCGATTATGAGATGTAATTTGGGTTATATATATTTATAGTTTTCTGCTTCTTGTGCCCCATTTGTCCCTATATCATTTTGAGTTCATATCTAATACGATGTCGAGGCGTATCTCAAAACATGTTTAGGCCCGAAAAAAATTCAAATATATATATTTTGTAGTTTTGAACAAATGTCGGATAAGTGTCGGGACTTGTCGGCCCGATACGGATATGACACATTTTTAGAAATGACGGTGCTACGTAAATAAAATATTTAAAAGAACTTACAATTCAATTGTTTAAGTACAAAGTTGTTAAAAATATTTTAAAGTTTTATCTCACTTATATTAAGTGATTTATTATTTTTTCCAATCTAATTTCTCATTCTTTTTATTATTTTGTTACAATCATTTTTTCTCTTAATGAATAAGCAAGCTTATTGGCTAACTCAAATTCATAGAACTATGCTCAAGCTCAAGCTTTGAATCAATTGATCAGGCTCAAGTTAGGTGTGACTCGAGCTAGGCTCGGCTCGGTTACACCCCAGGTTATATTAGGGCTTCCTACCTCATTGGTTCAGCAACCTGCCCTAGCTACATATTATATTGATTAGCAGATAGACAAAGGAAGAACTTATGCAATTGGCTATTGATAAAAGCTTCTCTGCATTTAGAAAGATAATTTTTTCTAGTACAACTATGGGTCCGTTTGTAGTGATTGTAGTTAAAGGTTGGTTTAAAGCTGCTACGAGGAAATCAATTTTTTAGAAAACTTATGTGGATATTATAAATATTTACATTTTGAAAAAAAAAATCTAACAGTAGAATTATTAAAGCTACTACATTTTAGAAGATCTGGTTGTAAAGCTTCCTATCAGAAAAATTTATAGAAAACAGCAAAAGAAATAATAACTCAATAGAACTGTGTTGATGATCTGAAAAAAAAAAAAAAGCAGCTGTCCGAATCAAGATCTAAATGACGTATTTTGCTATGTGCAGTAACATGTGTCGTACTCTATTTACATAGAGCCAGCACCTATTTAAAGGATGTCAAAAACATCCAGAAAGTGAAAATTGAGACTTTCCCAATTGGTTTTTGCTCATAGAACTTTTATCCGAATAGAATATTTTTTAGTTGTAATATGCTAGTCGGGTCTTTCAACATATCTAAAAGTCTAAATAGCCTTCTGTTTGTCTTGCTTATTCTTTTTATTTATTGGCGAGTACATAGAAAGCTCATAATTCTTTGTATTTAAACGCATAGCACCTAAATCTTTATTTTTAGTTCGATAATGCTCTAATATCTAAATCACATCGCATCATATGCTTGACAAGGATTATTTCTCGTTGGATAAGTTACTTTAGTCGTATTAGTAATGTGATTTAGAATAGGGTGCTATATAGGTAAATGTAAATCTATGGATGTTAGATATGCCAATACATAAGAGTATTTTGGTATATATGCAAATTCTCCTTTCTTTTCCTATGCATTTGTGCCTGTGTTTTGTGTTTGTAGGGGGATGTTGCAAGTATCTTTGTTATTAATATACTGATTTTTTTTTCCTGTTTTAAATTTCAAATTTCTCTTGGATGGAAAGATCATGTACATTTAGCATTTACTAAGATCAATATGCCTACATTTTAGAATCCTTATGTATTGAAACTGCTTGCTGAATTATCTCGATTCATCTTATGTATTTCATAAAGTGGATCTTTCCACAGTCTAAACTATATATATATATGTATATATATATATATATATATATATATTATTCTGTGGGAATTGTTTATTATTCTTGTAGTTATATCCTTTACCATGTATCATCTGCTGCTCAGGCCAAATCCCTGCACACAACCTGCAGTAATGCTGTATCTGCTGATTCAGTGATGTCAACCCCGGTGGCGAAAGCAAACTCTAGCGTGTTGGTTCCGGCAAGACAAGCTCATTCCATTCCTGCTTATCCGTTTCTTTTTCTGGTTTGACCGGTGAGAGCAGTGTTGGAGATTATCAAGAATGTGGGGTGTCTCCAATGCTTCTTGTGGGTGAAACTCAATGGTATGCGCCTGGTCCTGAGAGCTCAATAAAGGCAGCAAACAGGGGTAATGCTGTCATGCGTTACAAAGAGAAGAAGAAAGCGCGGAAGTAAGTGCATGCCTTTTCATAATTTATTGGAATGTTCAGGGTAAATATATTTTTCTTTATACTGTTCTTATTTGTTTCATTTTCAATTTGTTTCCTTTGAAAATGTTTGCAAATCTTAATCTCTTATGATCCCCATGTCCTCTCAAGGGTATTGGTGTAGCGCTGCACTGAGATGCTGATACTGTATGATTGAAGATTAAATGACATTTATACATTTGTGCTTGGATATGGATTTAAGTCTATTGTAAATTGAAATTAACTCATTAAAAAATAGGATATATTGAAGAATTAACTTCATGTATGTCAGAAATGCCTCAGCATAAATCCTGAGGAAATTCAACCAACTATGAGACAAAAGTGCGGTCAAGGATGGCCCACGAAAGAAAGATCAAAAGTCACACTAGCAAAAAGTAAAAGACCTGATTAACCAACCACAACTTCCTTGGAGCAGGATCTGAAATTGTCGGAACGAAGGTCGTCCAAGTCAAAGATCAAGAACATTGAACCAAAAAAGGTATCAAGCAACTCTAATGTTGGCATTGCCATTCGCTTCACAAGAGCCCTTAGACTCTTCAAGAGTCCTAAGTTTCTCATCATAACACGCTCTACAAACACTCCAGGTGAAACTTCTGTCGAGGGGGAAGGCTACTTGTTAGATTATAATGATCCACTATTTGTCTGACAACCTAGTCTCATCCTGGTGACATGAGTTTCTCATCTAGGGTTCGACAGTAGATCACCAGGCCAAAGTAGCGAACCAGCTAACCTAATCAGCCAACTGAATGATTAGAGCAGCCGATTGAGCGAAGATCCGAACAACCGAAAGACAACTAAAGTCGACCAACTGCCCAAATTTAGTAGAGTTAACCGAAAGGGCCTTGCCATTTAAGGACTACCAAGCTTAGTCGGCTGAATAATAGGTTAGCCGATCTATAAGCTCATTTATTTTTAATACCTAAAATATCCTATAATGGCACTGTAAAAGCAGTGGAAAACATATAATCGCACACTTTATACCTTATTGCGTATAAATAGAGGGTCATCTCGATAGTAAGGGGTTAATCAGTCACCAGTAAAAGAACTAGTTTTACTGCCCACTCCTTTTACTCTCTCTCATTCTCTCTCATGTTCTACTCTCTATTCCTTGAGTGTGATTCGCAGGATAGATTCAGATATAACACTTCACAAACATTCTTGAATGAAAGATCATTAAAGTGAATTTAAGATGGCAAGAAGGGCTTGGACGTGTGGGGACCACCCAAGTCCTTACACTTTGTGACATTGTCGTTCTCTATAGGCCTTGTGGGGATCACCTAAGTCCTTTGAAGCTCCTAAATGGTTGAATAGTTCAAGTCTGTCTTGCTGAGTACCGATGCCTTCCTCAAAAAGAGCATTTGTCTCAATATGGCAGGCTAATCCATATTACATCATATTGCTTGATTTATGTGTCAGATAATCCTTTATAGAGGCTTTTCTCTTATCTGAGACCAGAAAAATACACAATTACAATAGGGTGAGGTTGTATGAAATATACAAGAGAACTCAATAGGTAAGAAAAGAGACTATGAATGAGAGTTGAACCATGCCAGTTTAAGACTGTGGGAGCATTGAAGATGAGCTCTAGTTTATTGGTGAATCTAGTACCATGTTATAGATTAAGAAAGATCATGCACGTTGAGTTTTATGAAGGCATAGTTATTCAATTGGGGTTAGAAGCTTAGTTTGATGTCAGTGTACTTTGGACTAATAGAAAAGTAGTTCAGATAATGATATCACAATGAAAGCATGCATAGTCCATAGTATTTAGCTAGGGATTATGGTTAGACTCTAAGGGTTCGTTCGGGGCAGCTTATTTGGTGCGGTGGCGTTTTGAAAACGCACCTGGCCTGTTTGAGTAAACTGCTTTTTGGTAGCTTATGCATTTTCAAAACGCTGAAAACAACGTTTTCACACCGCACCAGTCTAGGTGCGGTGAAAGCTTTTTGGCTGCGGTCTTGCTTTTCCAAAAAATTAAAAATTTGTAATAGCTAACGCACCTAGCTTATCAGCATATTATTTTTAATCAGCGTATCAGTAGATTATTCAATAAGCTATAGCTTCCCCAAACATACCCTTAATTAGTATGCATTTAACTTTCATATGATTCACTCTGTGTAATGAAAACGCCGCCGTACCGTTTGGTTCGTGCGTTTCGCCAGCTTATCTGAAACTGTATTTAAGTGTTTACACTAAACGCAGGTTGTGGGCCGAACTCCGCGGCCCTCCTGCAGGCCGCATTTCAGGATAAACAGCTTATCTTGAAACACACAAGTTGCCTCAAACACACCCATAGTTAATTATAAGAATCTAGAATCTGAACTCCAATAGGAATATTATGCACTAATACATGCATACATCAAGAATAGAAGCATACTTGTAAGATGTCAATTTTCAACTACATACATGATATACTCTTTTTCGAACAATTATATGTTACAAGTAGTACAAATTAACATATATGGATCAAAGCAGCAAAAGTAATAGGATACTTGAAACCTGTCAATATATATATATATATATATATATATATATATATACACACACACACATATATAAGCTATATATCACAATTTTGTCCAGTGGTTTGGAATTATCAAGACAACAACATATGGTTGGATGGTGAAAAATCAATTTTTAATTTCTAACAGTATCGCTAAATAATAAATATAATTATCCAAATAATCTCAAAAAAGCTATGAACAATTAAATAAATCTAAAACTAAACTAGTTATTATTGTAATTATCTTCATCTAATTTGGCTTCTTATTTTATCAATATCTTTCCTTTTGTCACTCATCTTCTCGCCAAAAATTTAAAATATGAAAGTGTTTGATACTGTTCTAGGGCTCCTAGAAGATGTTTAGGAAGGGGACTTAGTAGAGAAGTGGTTGTGGAATAGTGACAAAACAAAAATATGCAAGGTCAATGGCTTTTGGAAGGGGATAGGCATCATTTGGCAGCTGTCTCGACAGAATAACAAAGAGAACTCCAAATATGTGACATTTAGGCGGTGAGGAGGTTTTACTAACTGTTCCCGAGCAAGATACAAACACTACTTATAAAAAGAATAAGATACAACACTCCTAAAGCAAAAATCAGAGATGACAATCTTCATATACTAAAAAAAAGCAAAAGTTCTAAAATAATAGAAAATACAAAGATATAAATAGTTCCCTCATAGAAAATAACTTAATTAGAAATTAAGAGGAAGGAAATCAAAAAGGTGGAAAAATGCTAAACTAGCCTTGAATTGGCACCCTATTCCAATTCTATTGATTGTGGGCTTCTAATGATCCCCCAAAACTTGCAAACCATGGATACCTATGGAAATGTGATCGTGAGATCCCTGACTTAATGCTCCGCATCATTCTCCCCTGGCAGGAGAGGATTCTTCCTCTTCTCTGGAAGCTTTTGGAATTGAACTACCACAATCATAACAAAGTCATCACCTTGCTCTATGTCAGAGGCGGTTCCGCTGCAAAATTCATGCTCACATCCATTTTATGTAACTCTAAAATACATACGCATTCTAAAGTCAATCCTAATAGAATAAGTATTCATCCTTTTTTGGCACAACCAAAACTAGAACTGCACATGATGGATATTTCTCATGAACCAAGTCACGAGTGCTTAAACAATTTTTTTGGAAGAACCAACCCTAGAATGCAAAATTGTAACCTAATTGTCTCACTCATACTCAGTTGAGTGCATCTAATAAACAAATTCTAACCAACTCTAGAATGCAATCCATGTCATGTTGAACCAGTTTTAGTGGGAACCACGCAGAAGGTAAAATGTCAATCAAGTTATCCGGCAACTCCTTCAACAGGAGCTGCCCCTTTCTTTATATCGACACTTTGAACTCATTATCATCCAAGACAACCAAAAATAATCCTGTTGATGGAGTCTCTTATGGGCTGATTTTGAATCATTAACATTTCTCTCAACATATCTCCCATGTTAGCTGAAAGTTGATACTCTTTGATGGAGTCTCTCATGGCTCTCTGCATGCTCCAGGCAAGGGTGCAGCGCCTAGGTGCCAGTATCGCGGTGCCTAGGCGCCAAGTGGGTGGCTTTCTTGGAGCAGTTTTGACAGTTCGGGAAGCCTGTCGTGGGGAGTTGTGAGGAGTTGCTTAGGAGGTCGTGGGGTGATGTTTATGTTAATTAAGAGAGTCTATATATATATGCTATGTATCTGAGACTTAGAGGATTGATGAAGGGGGGATGTTGGTAGGTCTAGCATTGATAAAGTTGTGAGGATTGAGTGGATTGGCTTCCTATAGAGCCTATCCTTCTTCTAATGCAGAGGATAGGGAGAGCCTTTAGGAGCAACAATCAGGAGTCAGGAGCATTTGTGGAGCATCTTCAGTTCCTTGTAAAGGAGAGGAAGATAGGTTTATTTTGTTTTTATTATTGTATTTCAATTTTAAACATTTGGATAGTAGAATTCTTTTGTTTCAATGACTTGGTGTGTTGTTTCTCTCATGCTTTTTGCGTAGATTTCTTTACTTTACCTTGTGATGATTAAATAGGATGTGTATGAATGTTATGTGCTGTGAAATTACTTTTAATTGTTGAATGTGATGATTAACCTTCAGATCTTCATTTACATTTCATTCTAGCTAAGTGAAATGTTAAAATTTAAAATGTGTTGTGTGAACCATAATGACTTGGGAGAGCTATGCTAGAATCAATTAGGTTAGTCACATTGAACTATGGGGTATAGGTTGATATACCTTGTTGGGAGATGTATTCTTTGTCGGTTAAAACGAGATTCAAGGAATTAAAGTTGTTTTAAATAATTTTCTTTATGCATTCGAGAGGGTAAAGAAAAGAGTTACTCCTATTTATCATTAGCCATATTTACAATTTACACTTTACATGTCATGTACTCCACTTACATCATTACGATGGAGAATATCCTTAGAACCTAATATTCATCAATCCAGTACCTAGTTAAGTATGATTTCAACTTTACAATTGCTTGTAATACTATAGGATTAGTTTGAATGACTTTAACCCAATCTAAGTTCCAGGCTAAGAAAGAAATCAGTAGGCTAGAACTTTTCCTGGGCACCACTTGCAAAATGTGTGGGATACATCACTCCTAAAGCAGAAATTAGATATTACAATCTCCATATACTCAAAACAAAGCAAAAGTTCTAAAAAAAGTTGGAAATAACAATATATAAAGTCTCCACTCATAGAAAATAACTTAATTAGAAATAGAGAAATAAGAAAAAAATCAAAAAGTATATGCATGCTAAATTGGAGTTAGTGTCGTATTCAAATTCCCGCGATTGCGGGCTTTTCAAATTCCCACAAAACTTGTGGTTCGTGGAATCTTGCAGAAACGAGATTGCGTCATTCTTGGTGACGCTCACACGTCAGTATTAGTTTATCATATAATCATCAATAAATTCAGTAAATACTCATATTCCTAAAGTGATAGTAATATAAAAGAATTAAATATGTAATATAAACGTTAGTTACGGTTTAGCAAGTTAGTATCAAACCATTTAACTGCCCAAGTTTGACTGTATAAAAAATTCAAATCATTTTTATTGTTATATCATATATTGTGTTTATCTTTATATGTAACATATGCATGTGTACCGTTTAAAATTATATCAATTAAGTTGCATTAATATCAATATTTTTTTGACAATTTATGTGCAAGGGTGCTATAGTGCTCCTAAAGTTATGAATTATGGGAGAGGATAATTGAACATAGATTAACATGAGATATAAAGGTTTCTTATAATCAGTTTGGATTCATGTCGGACAAGACAACTTTAGAAGTTATACATATATTGAGAGATTTGATGTAGAAGTACAGAGAATAAAGAGAATTTACATATGATTTTTGTTTATTTAGAAAAAGCTTACGATAGAGTTTCAAGAGAAGTCCATTGGAGAGTGTAGTAGAAGACAGGTGTTGATGTGACTTGCATTCAATTCATTAAGGAAATGTATACTAGATTTTTTACTTGTGTTCGAACAAAAGGTTTGACCAAGTATTTTCCTATTGTAGTTGGATTACATCAGGGATCAGCTTTAAGCACATATCTTTTTGCTTTAGTTATGGATGATCTTACTGGACATCTACAGGAGGATGTACCTTGGTGTATGCTTTTGGTTGATGATATCCTTCTTGTGGATAAAATGAGAGAAAAAACCTAGGAAAAACTTGAAATATGGAGGTCTACATTGGAGTTTAAAGGCTTTCATTTAAGTAGAACTAAAACTGAATACATGGAATGTAATTTGAGTAATAATAGCTCTAGTGATAGAAGTGTGACTTTGGGTGATCAAATTATTAGAAGGTGTGATTTAGATATATTGGGTCTGTTGTTCAAAGCGATGGTGATATAGATGGGGATGTTAATAGTAGAATTCAAGTTGGTTGGTTGAAGTGGAGGAATGCTTCTGGCCTTTTGTGTGATAGAAAAGTACCGCTTCGACTTAAAGGAAAATTTTAGAAGACGGTGATGAGACCTGCAATGCTCTATGGCGCTGAATGTTGGCCTTTAAAAGAGAAGCATAATAATAAGTTAAGTATTGATGAGATGAGAATGATTAGGTGGATGAGTGGCTTTACACTTAAAGACAAAATGCGAAATGAATATATCCGTGATAGGGTTGGTGTAGCTCCTGTGATGGACAAAATTAGAGAAAGTCTTCTTAGATGGTTTGTCGCATTAAAAGTCGACCATCTGATGATCCAATTAGGAGAGTAGATGTTTTAGATTCGACTTGTGTTAAGAAAGGTAGAGGTAGACCTAGGAAGACTTGGGCTTATTGTATAAAAAATTATCTTAATTTACTAGAACTAAATGAAAATATGACACTAAATAGGACGCAATGGAGAAAAAGGATTCATGTAGCCGACCCCACGTAGTGGGATTAAGGCTTTGTTGTTGTTGGTGGTGGTGGTGGTGTTATAGTGTTCCTAGCTGTATCATAAGATTGTGAACTAAATTAGCCAATCATACACATATAAGCTATATGATTCATTTTATTCATATAGTACATATCATTTAATATTCTGTTGTCAAAATCGGTATATAAGATAGATAAATATAAATATTCTTTGAGATATATGACATTTTTGATATGATGTATAAATTTAATAGTTCGATCAAATCAAAACTGCATTTACAATAGTAGTGTATACAAGCAATCCCCAAATGCATTTGGCTTTCAAAAAAATCAACATTATTGCTATAATTTAGAAATAAGATTGCATTTGGATGATCTATTATTTTTTCTTTAAAAGGTTGACCACTTTAACAATGTATCTAATCATTGTGCATATCAACATAAGGTTTCTATATTTCAACTATTTATTAATCAAATCATTTAATATTTAAAATAATTAGTTTATTGATGTTAATATTTGATTATCATCATTGTAAATTTTTTATTACAATTTCAAAATTATAAATTTTTTATTTTAATTAGAACTTTAAGATTTATAAATAAAATTTAGAACATTTTTTAAATTTGATTTAAATTCATTATAATGACTTTTATATCATAATTAAAGTTATAACCATTTTATTACATTAAATGTATGCACATTTATTAATATTTCTCTTTATTATCTTCTAATGATTTTTATGTTCCTTAGACATATTAATACATCATCATAATTTGATTAATTATCTTGTTATTTTCATTGAATATACACGATAGATTTTCTAATAATATTAATAGTTTAAATGCCAGTTTAACTTTAAGATTTTAAATTTTACTTATTTCATATTAAAAGGTATGCATTAAATTATTAACTACTTTAAACTATAAAATCAAAATACTATTCAAAAGTTGCTTTTGAAAATTGTTCAACGCTTGTATGATAGTTGACCACTTTCTTCTTCCTTCCTCTTAGTTTATCCTTTTTCTCATTTCTTTCTCATTTATTTTCTTACAATATCTAAACCTAATAATTTATAATATAATCATAAATGATTTCTATTCTTTGCTATTTAAATACCTTAAAATAGAAACTTTACGTTTATATGTTATAATTTCAAATAAATAAATAAATAAATAAATATTATTCGACTCAAGCGAAGCGATTGAACCCATCAACAATTTGAATTCGATCCTTATTCATCGCACACCCAATCTGATAGCAGCTCAAAATTTGCGAGCATGATTGGAGCTTTCAAGTCTCTATCTTGACTACTATGCCATGCCCACACCCTATGCTTGTATACTTCTTTGTCCACTTTCGCTGGCATGCAGTTTCCACATGGTAATTTGCCTCTCTCGCTCTCCCTCAGTTTGAGCTCTTCACTTGCAACAAATCCCGATTGTCCTTCCTCTCTCGCTTGCTCCGCTTTTCCTCAACTGGCTCTCTCCGTTTTACTTAACTCACATGGTCCATCTCCTCATCTTTGTCTTTTTTGTGCTCATTTCATCTCCCTCTCCATCTCCTCCTTCGCCTCTTCTTATATGCAAATATCATTAGATAGCTAATATCAGAACCAATGTAAGTCGGTTCCAAAATAATATAATATTAGCAAAATAACTTTTATGCAAATCTTAAACTTTTGATTATGATCAAACAAGCATGTCATGTGATGTAAATCAAAATCTACTTTAGTAAGTAATGAATGGTGTAGATATAGTTGTTAGAATATGTGATAATATATAAATGAATATTCATACATAATCCAAACATATCACGAGAAATAAATAGCACAAGTTGGAGAACATTGTGGTTTGTTAATGTTCTTTCAAACAAAATTCCTAACATATCACAAATAATTTTTGAAACAATGATCATATTTAAGATCTTTTAATGTCAAATTGATTACTTGTATGTATTTCAAAGTGTGTTATAAACAAATGTTTAAAAAGGTAAAATCGGGAATCAGGGCATTATGTTTTGGCAAGGTGAGGCTTTAGCCTCAAAACAGGAAAAAAAAACTCATAAAATTAAAATATATTCCTAAATATGATATAAATCATTGATATGTTAGTCTACTTTATCGTCATAAAGGCATGAAACAAAATCTTAATCCTAAATATTGATATAAAATAGAAATTTGAAATGTGATTCACTATAAACATTCACTTAAAATTTAAATATTTCATGAAGTTCAAGATAAATGGTGAACTTATCATCGCTTTCATTATCTTCAAAAGAATATTCATATTTATTATTATCTAGTTATTTCTCATTTGCATTTTTAAAATATTCTTCAATCGATATAATTTTTTTTCTTGCAACCAATTAATCTGAAAATCATTATGATTTAAAACAAAGAAATAAACTATTCACATAATCATTTAATCACACTTAAATTATCTTTTGACATTTTTGAGGCATTGTATCAGATATCTCAAATATACTATAATATAATATAATATACATTAATGATACAATATGATAACTTTTTCTTAGGCATAACTTCCTTGAGGCGTTGCCTGAAATGAAAAAGGTGCAAGTCTCACGGGCGATAGCGAGGCTCAAGCCTCGAGGCTTTTGGGTGTTCCTTAGCGAGAGGCTTTGTGAACAACGGACTTATAAATAAGCAATGAATGGTGCATTCATCATTGTCCAAAGTTTCTCATAAAAAAAAATTACACATCATATGTCAAAAGAATATTATAATGTATCTATTGGCTAGCTGATGATAAATTTTTTTGGATGGCATTAATTTCATAGTAAAAAAAAAATGAAACAATAGAAAGTAATGCAATGTTCTTTCTACTTTTTTTGAACAGGTTTGAGAAAAAAATAAGGTATGCCTCACGCAAAGCTAGAGCAGACATTAGAAGGCGGGTGAAGGGAAGATTCGTCAAAGCTGGTGAAGCTTATGATTATGATCCGCTATGCCAGACCTGAAGCTGTTGAATCTCCAACTTATATGTTAAATCTTCCCTCTTCTTTTCACCATGTCCTTCCTGCACTGGTGGCAACCGGTAATACTGCTACTTCTAACAGCTCATCTGGAATTGCAATTTTTGCTTGGTTTCTTTGTTTTGAGGGGCCATTGTTGAGGGAAGGTGCAAATATCAGAAGTATTTTTCTGCAAATATTGGCAGAATCCTGAAACGACCAACTGGTGGTTGTTCTCATCATTCTCTCTTTAAACCAGTATCTATTGTGCTTAGCTCTTAGCTCTTAGCTCGCTTTTTTACTGTAGTTGTATTGTGTAATTTTTGTTCGTCTTCAGCATAAAATTTGTAAAGCGCATACTGCTTATTGTGAAAAATTGTGTATTCAGCATGTGAGAGAAACACATCTATTGTATTAGAAGGCTTGAATAAGAACTTGTATAGTTGGGTTAACTGTATTTTTTTTGGCTGTAGAAAATCATTGTAATTTACACTCTGTCCGGTGCTATTCTATCTTGAAATAAAGCATTGATGTTAAAATGAAATATTGATCGTTTGATATGGACTTTGCAAATTTGTCCCCTCAAGTAGTATATATATATTATTTTTATTTTTTATTTTTTTATGTTCTTACAGAGGAGAAAAATTTGCGCACCTAAGATATTTGCAGAACTGTGTACATCGGAGATTATTCAGAGGATATTGGGGGATTATAGGTATGTTACAAAGATGTTATAGGGGTATAACACAGATATAACCCTCAAATATCATCTGAATAATATCCGATGTACGCAGCTCTACAAACATCTTATGTATGCAAAATTTTCTCCTTACAGAGGGATACTGCAGTGCCTATAGTACGATGCGGCCCAAAAGAAGATTTAAAGACTTTTGCTTAATTTAGGGTTTGCAAAAAATATGTTTTTCTATTGCGAATAATTCATGTTACTAACAATCGGGTTAGGGTCAGAAAATGATTTGTTTTATTTTATTTTATTTTATTATTGTTGCGTAATTTTTAGGTTTAGAGTATGAAAATAAATAATCTGCAGTGGGACGGTAGAATGGATCTGGATTGTCCTCCTTGGCCTACTTTTCAGTTAGCTTTTCTTTATCAGCCATCAAATGAAGAACTTGAGGATAAGTTGGGAGTAGTCTTATGTTTTGTAGGGACAATTTAGAGTGATGGTCAACAAATTAATCAAGCTGAATGAAATTGAAATTTAAGAAATCAAATCGGCTTAGTCTTTGCAAAAACTGATTCAAACATAACTGAAATTTAACTCGGTTTGATTCGCTTGATTTGGATTGAGCTGAAATTTAACATTTAACCCAACAATTAAAATTTGAGATTTTATCTTAAAATTAAAAATATTATTTCTCTTTCTTATCTTCACATCTTGTCTTTAAAAATAAAAACATTGAATCAACCTACTTAAACTTGTCACATGAACAAATTATTTCTTTTCAAATAAATTTAAGAAATCATAATTTGCTCATTTTAAGCATTTATTTTGAACCGCTTATATATATGCATACATATACATACATATACATATACATACATGTGCAACCGCTTATGTATGTATATGTATGTATGTATATGTATATGTATGTATATGTATATGTATGTGCTTGTGTAGGTGTGTATAGAAATGTATATATGCATGTGTGTGTGTGATATTTAAGTTTAGGTGTTAGATATGTAAATACATAGGAATTCAGTGGCATGTATGTAAATCTTCCTTAAAAAAATTAACATATGTTGCCTTGGGATGCTGCTTGCAAGTTCCGTAAGCTCGGCGTCTCGCTCCCTTCGGTCGAAGGAGTCCCTCTCAAATCCTAAGCGCTCTCGCCATCTGACTTTAATTGTCTAACCTGAGTCTTAAGTCAAAGGAAGACCGCAATGTTTGAAGCATTAGAAAATGCCTAGAGGCTGAAAGAAGAGAGTTGAGAGATCTTTTGAGGGATCTCTTTTGGGTTGTCTTCCTCCTCGAGTGGAAACATTTAACCTTAGTTTTAAGTCAAAGGAAGACCACAATGTTTGAAGCATTAGAAAACGCCTAGAGGCTGAAAGAAGAGAGTTGAGAGATCTTTTGAGGGATCTCTTTTGGGTTGTCTTCCACCTTGAGTGGAAACATTTAAGAGAGAGTTTTCTTTGCTTTGTGAGTTGTGAGATAGTTTGTATAAGAAGGAAAGGTGCTAACTTTGTAGAGGAAATAATTTATTGTAAGTTCTTTCATATCTATGTTGCTTGCAATGGGTTTTAATATGGTGCTTTTCGCTATAGTTTTTTCCGTAATGAGTGGTTGAGCTTTTATTCGTATCTCTGTGTTGTAAGGAGCTGTGGATTTATCGAGGATTTTCTGTAATGTTTTTCCGTTAATCATTTTCTTGTGCTTTATTAGCCCATATTATTAGTTCACCTCCACACTTAATTTACTCTTAGTCTGGTTGACTAGGAAGTTAAACTGCTTAGTGAAACTATAATCTCTAAACACTGCATAATGAAAACAAAGGGTTAACCATATAATTCCGAGAGGATAGACATATTCCGGTGGAATTCTGGAATCATCCTAGGGGATTGGAAAAGTCATGCGAAATGCCATGGGAATTGAGGAATCCTCAACTTCATGGATTCTATGCTTCTTTTGGCCTAAACATAGACAAAAGTAGTATTATGCTCTCAATTGACGATAATCACGTAGGAGAACATTTAGGAATTTTCACGATCGTCACAATCCCCAATTCACAGAGGCATAAGTTTCATCTATTTTGAAGAAACTCATGAATTACCCTCATGTTTTCCGCTTTTCTTTTAATTGTTAAGTACTGTGTTTTGCTTGGACCTTAGGACTTAAAAACCTCCTTTTCATAAACACCAAGCTAAGTTAACTAAATTAGTAAACTAGAAATTTTTCTTTGAAAACAAGTATTGCACTTTCCCTGTGAGATCAATATTTGGTAATCTTGAATCACATTAATACTTGACACGTGCATTTACGTTATACGACCGATTTACATTCCTGTAAGTTTTAGCGTGTCAAGTTTTTGAGATTGTTCCCAGAAAAAGACATTAATAATTATTTTTTCTATTTAGGAAATTTTTAGTTTAAAAACTCAAGATATAAGTTTGGGCTTTTGTTTCTTATTTTTATTTTGTGTTTTTATTTTTCTTTTTGTATCTGTATTTCTGTTGTGTTTCTTCGCAGATACTGAAAAGTAAAAAAAAAAAATCAAAATGCCAAAAATATTTTGCTGATAAATTATTTTGTATTTCTTTTGTTTTCCTTAGCATATTGTGTGTCGCACTTGCATGTTAGTGTTTTTATTGACTTGTGTGAGTCGGTGTGCTTGTTTCAGCTGTTTGTTGCATAGTTGTCAACTGTCATTTTTATGTTTAAGGGAGTTGAGGCTGACCTCGCCCATTTTGTTCTTGGGATAAATCACACATTCAGACGTTTTAGGAGATCATACTTAACTTCTAAAATACCATCAAAAGCTGATCAAATGCTCCAACTCAGCATATTCAGATGAACGAGCCGCGGACCTTCCGTCACACATCAAAACTCGGCTTATTTGATCAAATGGATTGAATAAATACAAAGTTATTTTTCATGTCATCAACCAAAATATTGAGGTGCACTATATCGATAATGCGGGAAGGTTGAACAAAAATTTTTTTTTTTTGGCTGGTTTGACTCTGCTATTAGTATCAACTTGATTATGCTTGTAATTTTTAATTCTTTTCAAATTTTAGTTATTGGTTTGATTTTTTGCTTTTGTGAAACATATCAAATTAAAAATATATAATATTAATTTTTCAATTGTTAAAATCATAAAGCTATATCAGCAAAGAAATGACAAAATAAATAAATGTGGATATTATTTATTCCACTACCAAACCACAAATTTTAACCTATATATATATATATATATATATATATATATATATATATATATTATATATATATATATTGAAACATATTATTTAAGTTAAAGATAACTAGATTGATTGTTAAATTTAATTATATTTTTGTTTAGCCATATTTAACTAAAATAATCATATTGAAATTTTGTTTTGTTTAGTTTGATAAAAAAAAAAAGACTTAGGTCGGTTAAATTGTTTGATCCGAAAGGATTCAGTAATATTAAGATTTAATAAATTCTGATTTATTAATTTAGCGCGATCAGTTGGTCGGGCATCTGCCCTTTGATCTGGGGTTCAATTCCCTCTGAGTGTAGGGTATGATACTCGAATTTTTAGGTGCATGAGGGATGATTGAGCCTCCTATAAGAGCCTCCAACCATTCCTTTTTTTTTTCAAAAAAAAAAAAATTAAATTTATTTCTTTGCAGGATTTATTAAATATGCATTTAACATGAATAGAAGGCAAAATTCTAAGATTAGATTTAAAATTTCATAAATTCATAAAATTTATGTTTTCTCATGTTTAAGCTGGATTTTTTCAATCTCTTACCCTTGGATCAAGTTTGGGTGATCACAAGTCACCCAATTAACGGGACAAAAAGTTTTGATCTTGGTCGTGCCTAATCAAGCCCATTGTCAAAGCTTTCGATCTGTTCTAGGAAAAATCAGAACTTTTATACTGTCAATGCAAATTTTCGTGATTTGATATATTTGATCTTTTCGTATGAAATAAGCTAATTTGAAATATTTGATCTCTTCCGGCATGGATGAGGCTCACGAAATCCTGCTGAGCTCTCTGAAGAGTTCTGGCGTATCTCTTCCCGTCGGTGTTTCCTCGATCAAGGATATATCCTCTATTGGTCTCGTCTCCCTCTGCGCTCAATCCCTCCGCTTGATTCTCGATTCTGAACCCTCCTCCTTTCCCACTTCGCTTCCAGCTGCAACATCTGAACGCTTCCGGATTTGCGCTGAACTCGCCACGGCGATCAAATCCCTCGGCTACAGAGAGGAGCTCGGCTTCCACCAGGTACGGCGATCACTATCATTGTTCATACTTGATCTTGATATTAGGGTTTTGGGTTAATCTAACATTTTTTTTTTCTGTACATGAAAGCATTATCCTTTGGTTTCCGTTTATGATAATATGAGTTTTGGTACCTGCATTGTCCTGTTGGATTTGGCGTAGGACGCCACAATATGATTATGGATCCTACTGTTTTTCTTATGGAGTTCGGAAGGATGAAGAGCAAAATGATTATGTTTGGGAATTTGAGAGGAACGCCTTTTGAAGATAATGTTTTGGAAATATGTTTTAGGTATTTTGGGCGTGCATCGTAGAAATTAGAAGATTAACCAATGGAGCATGAGGATAGAATTTCTATGAAAGATGACTTTGCTATAAATTATGCTGCAAGATTTGTATACACTATAATTAACACATTTAATACCATGGTTTAAAAAACGGGACCAAATCGGCCGGTTCTACCGATCCAACCTGTTCAATAGTGAACTTGTCATTCAGTCGGTTCGGTGAAAGTTTAGAATTATTTTTGCATAGAACCGGTACTGAACCTGTCAGAAATGAGGTTGAACCGATGAACTAATCCGATTTCTAAAGAATCAGTTGATTTAAATATTGTCCAATTTTGACATTTTGACTTTAATCGAATGACAAAAAATAACATATTTAAATTAAAAATAGAGAAAATGTCATGTTTTAAATTATTTCTTTAAAGTGTTGTTCATAATATTCAAAAGTACTGTCTTAAATTATAATATTATTTGTTGAATCAATAAAAATGATATTAATATATCATTATTCTATTATTTAAATTATATAAAAATTATTTAAATATTAGTCTCGCCATCCAATTAAACCTCCGGTTCAAACCCAATTGAACTATTTAGACTTTTTTCTTTTTGTTTGATGTCTGGTCTGGTTTTCACAACTTTATTTAACACTAGTGGATGAGGCTTTATTAAGCTGGCATTGAATAGTTGGCATGAAGCAACAGTGGCCAGGAGTTAGAATAAAAAGTTGTGCAGCTAAAACTTCTTAAATTAAATAGTTATAGTTAGTGCCAAGAACTTAGGAACTCTCGTTTTAAAATATGGGTTATGTTTTTCTTATCCTGGGTGCAAAACTTTTGATGTAGTTAGTGATTCCTTTCAAAACTATCAAGGTTTAATTTGGTGCAACTTTTCTAATGCTTAATTCTTTGATAGGAATTTTTTTTATTGAGTGAAAAATGATGTTAGAAAATTCTCATTTTATGCAAATGCACCTTTTTAATGGCTTCATGAGCTTGTGAACTGAATTTTGGAGTAGCTCTTAATTTCATGTAAAGTGCATAGATTTTATTTTCTATAACATAACAAAATTGTTGAAAAACAAGCCAAAAAACCACTAAACCACAAGAACACATAACATAATTAATGAAACAAATAACAAAATAAACAACGCCAAATTTCAATGTGAAAAATCCCTATAATAGAGTCAAAATCATGGGACTCGTAGGCCACTTAAACGCCTCCACTAATCAACTTAATGAGCACATAAAGTTTTTCTTTAGAACACTCATATCAATAACCAACCATCACCATATAGGTGGTATACATCAACTTCATCAAACACAAGAGTTTAGTAATCTCACCGAATTCAAGAGAAATGATTTTTTCTTACTCTAGACCCCTTTCACGCTACTGCCCTCTGATCCTTCGATTGAACGCCATATCCTCTACTATATGTATCTTCAGAGTGTTCTCATAAAAACAAAGAAGCGAGACAGTCAAGTGAGAGAGTGTAACTTTTTTTTTTCTTTTTTTTTTACGGTTTCTTCAACGGTGTCTACCTATGAGGGACCCACAAAAATCTCCCTCTCACGATCACATAGAGAAAAGGCTCTCTCGTACCCGCGATCCCTCAACATACTATAAGCTTATCTTTCATTAATATTTTTGTCTTCATATCAGAACCATTCTCATCAGTATGAATCTTATCAAGCACCAACATCTTTGAGTCTAACACATTACGAATCCAATGATACTCCACGTCAATATGCTTCGAACGTGAGTGGAATGTGACATTCTTATTGAGATGAATTACCTTCTGACTATTACGATATAAGACAAACTTATATTGCTTATGACCCAACTCATGTAGGAAATTATTCATCCATAAGACTTCTTTGCAAGCTTCCGTGACTGCAACATACCCAGCCTTAGTAGTTGACAAAGTCACACAGTTCTGTAGTTTAGATTGCCATGAAACTGCTCCCATTGTAAAAGTAACCAAATATCTTGAAGTGGACTTTCTTGAGCCCACATCACAAGCCATATCTGCATCTGTGTAACCATCCAAAATAGGATTATCATTTCCAAAACTTAAACACATTTTAGAAGTACCTCTGAGATACCTGAAAATCTACTTAATTGTTGCTCTATGCTCTTTTTCAGGGTTGGAAAGAAACCAACTAACAATGCCAATTGCATGAGCAATGTCTGGCCTCGTAGATACCATAACACACATCAAGTTACCCACAACAGATGCATAAGATACATTTTTCATTTCTTGCCTCTCATTCTCACTTGTAGGGCATTGCTTAGTATTAAGTTTAATCTGACCTGCAAGTGGAGATACAACTGGCTTCAGGATGCTAATATTGAATCCTTCAAAACCTTTCTCTATGTATCTCTTCTTAGATAACCATAGCTTGTTATTCTTCTTGTCACGAATAATCTTCATTCCAAATATTTGTTTTGTCGAACCCGAATCTTTCATGGCAAAAGATTTGTTGAGTCCTCTCTTGAGCTTCTCAATCTTAGTCCCATCATGATCAACAATCAACATATCGACATATATTAAAAGAATCACGTGATGACTATCAGATAACTTCTTTACAAAAACACAATAGTCAAAAGTAGTTTTATTGTACCCATTTGTTTTCATAAAAACATCAAAATTTTGGTACTGTTGTCTTGGTGCGTATTTAAGCCCGTATCAACTTTCTCAACTTGCAAAGAAGATCTTATTTTCTATCTTTGAATCCCTCGAGCTGCGCCATGCAAATTTCCTCTTCTAAATCATTGTGAAGAAAGACCGTCTTTACATCCAGTTGTTTCACCTCAAAATTCAAACATACAGCTAATCATGGTACAACTCAAATTGAACTCATCTTCACAACTGGTGAGAAAATTTCATCGAAAGCAACACCCTTTCTTTGACTGAATCTCTTCACAACCAATCTTGCTTTGCGTTGGTTGTGAGCAAGTATCTTCTAACTTTAGTTTCAATACTTATTTATTCCTTAAAGCTTTTATGCATTTTGGTAATTTCACCAGATCACAAGTGTGGTTCTTATGCAAGGATCTTATCTCACCTTTCATGACACTCAACCACCTGTTGATCTCATTTTGAGGTCATTACTCTTTTCCTTAGGATCCTAGGATCTAGCTCTACGAGTTCCTATTGACTATCTTCGAAAACTAGTATTGGAATTCATCCCCTTAGAAATTTCAACCACTTCCTATTTCTCTTGTGATGTCTCGTATTGATAATCTCAAAACTATTGCCGTTTGGTCGAGTGGTTAAGGACTATCATATGGAGACTCAATGAGAAGTTCCTAATATGATCTCAAGCCCTATGAAAACCTCTTCAGGACTTTATCATCACACACACATAAAATGAACAAAATTCACTAAGTTGCGCAAAGTCGGACTGAAAATAAACTTAAACAGCGTGAAAATGTGAACTTACCCGAACGACCTCTGACGGTGAAACGGACTACTCCGACGCGTCTGAGACATCGTTTTTAGCTAGGGAGGACACCCATATTGTTATAATTCTTCATACGAGCAAATCACACGCAAATCGATGAATTCATCAAAACAACCTCCGATGATGAAACGAGCTGCACCAACGCGTCCGGAACGTCAGAATTACCTAAAAAGGACATCCATTTTGTTATGCTGTGACGCACGAATAAAAATGTACGAATCAAATATTATTTTGGAAATGTTAAATATTTATATATTTATATTATTAATTATAATAACATTTATAATTCTAAACTCTATTTATCCCTTTACCCGCATACTGTTTGGCCCAACCCGCAGCTTGAGCAGCCGCTCAGCTCATTCCTGTGTGCCCTAGATCTCGTGGCTCATCCACGCGGCGATCTCCCCCCTCTCTCGACTCTTCTCTTTCCTCGCGTGACAGCTCGACCGCTAGGCTCTCCAATCGTGGGAGCTCGGCTGGCCAACCCTTTTTCTTCTCGAGGTTTTACCTTCTCCTCCTTTATGGTGATGATTCATTCCCCGTTGTTTTATTCGACCACGAAATCGTGGTAGGTGGCTGTCTCCCTCTCATCTCTGCCTATAAAAAGGCTTCTTAAGGTATTTTTCTGAGTTGTTGAAAATTTTCTGAGAAAAAAGGAGGCTGGGGTGTTCGTTGGTCGCTGATTTCTCAAAGGTTTTGGGAGGAAAATTTCTATAGGAAGCATTTTCTTAAATTTGTTCTAGATTTTTGTTTTAAGTTTGCATTAAGAGGTATTTTTCTTCTTCCCTCTAATATGCATCATTCGGATTTGAACCTGAAAGTATTTCTTTTTTCTTCTAAAGCATGTGGAAGTAAGGTTTAGGCTTGTTTTGATATCTAATCATGGATAGTTTCTAGAAACAATAAAAATGGAACATAATATGGATACTTTTTTTTTTTTGCTCAAAATGCATGATAGATAGAATTTTGAAAAATTCCAGTTGTTGCCATGTGATGATAGTTGTTTATCTAGAATATATGCTAAAATGTAATGCTGAAATTCTTTGTTGATGTTGCTCCTCTTTAAGTAAATGCTGGAATTAGTTTTAATACTGGATAATATGTTGACATTAGAGATCCGTTTATGTTTATTCGTTCCCTGTTACCTGTTACTATTTGAAACATATATTGGGCGTAATATTTTGAGACATAAAACTTCATGAGATTTGACTTTGATGGCTGGAAGTGTTGCCTTTCTGTTTTCCCCATT